TTGTGCCTCATTAATAAATTCTAGCAGGATTTTGCCAGCATTGTCTGTTTTTGATGAGCCTAACGCCATGTGATGTGCATTCAGATCCCCCCCGATAATATACGGAGATGCGATTTGTGATAGTATATGTTTATAATTTTCCATACAAAGGTTATTTTGCACCGTACGGTACATTGATATAATGGTTACATTTAGATCTAGTAATTTCGCGCCACATATCATAAAGTCGTTATCAAAATCAGTGTTAATGCTTATCTCTGCATAGTTAAGTGATTTATGAATGAGAATCGCCACACCCGCATAGCCATCTGCCCTATCTTTTTTAACTACATTAAAATTCTTGACCTTTAGTTCCCTGCCTCGTTTCCACCACGTTTCACTTAATATAATAATTTTGTAGTCTTTTTCGAAAATCAGTTTTGCTAAATTCTCAGATTTAGCAAATATTGACTGGATGTTCCATTGCAACATATTGATTTTGTCGGTAGAATTACTCGCTATAATAGGGTTGAAATTAATAGATAGTAAGAAGATGAAAAAAATAAACCTTTTGCGCTGTACTAATCAGAGTCTTGTGAAGACTCTTCAAGAGACGTGTCGGACATTACGAACCGTTCGCTATTCTTCACGTACGTTTTTAACTTCATTGCCAGTCTCTTTAACCGGGCTTTGAGTCTCTTAGTTTGGGTGGATTTAATTGTTTGTATCAGTAGTTGAAGTAGTCCCTCGGTATCTGTCGTGAAAGCTCCGGCCACGCCCCACGGGTTGCTTTGTCCTTTAACTTCATTCAAAAAATCACAGAAACGTTCAAAGGAAATAACTTCATTCGGTTGGTCGAAAACGTGTTTAAACTCCTTGAAAACCTCTGAATCCTCTTCTATTATCGGTGAGACTTTGGTTTTTTTTGCTCTAGGTTTTTTAAACAATGTTTTGTCAGTTATCTGGGTCTCCTTAGGTGATTCAAGATTCCTTTCGTCGCCGTCGTCTGTGGATGATGGTGGAGGTCGTTTATTAGTTGAAGGAAGCTTCGATATTGACCGAAATTATTCCTGCCCTTGAATCCGTAGGACTACCGTTTTCGTCCCCGATTCGGCGGATGTCCCCGCCTCGTTTTCCTCAGTTGATGTGCCGTTGACTCTCTTATGTCATTTTTGGTGGGACAATTCCCGCTGTGTGCCCGACGAGGGCTACATAGAAAGCACCTCATGTCGTCAGCCGACAAAAATATTCTAAACATTTCTCCTTGATATCTAAACGCTATGCTCGCCGGAGGCTCATCGCTCTCGTCTGTTGCAAAGTATACTTGGCGTCTATGACTAAGACATGTTTGTATTCACGATCCAGGTTACCTGCACCTATCAACGAAATTCCTGATGCTAATTTCAGATTCGCCCGTTCAAGCTCGTGTTGTATAATTTCGTTGGGTATCCAAGGTGAGACATTCGATAATACAATCCGCTTTGCCGAAGTGGCCAAGCGCCTCGCCGGTATAAATTGATCGTTAATTTTTATTCCTTTGTGAGTACCAAGGAATGTGTCAACTGTAGCAACTGAGTTTAGGCAAATACTTATTCTAGCCCCAGATATACGGGATGCAAAAATTACATTTTTCGCGCCAACGAGCGTACCCACCCCGGAGATATATTCCCGAATCGGCACCCCCTCACCCGCAGAAAAGACGATGACCTGTTCTTTTTGTGGAAATTTAAATTTCGATTGTAGTACGGACGAGTATGTAGAACCGGATACATTGATAGAGCTGCTATCTCCCTGACCAGAAATAGCGCTAATCTCTTGGGTGTTCGATATATTTTGCATTTGGTCCTCCATAACGGAAGACAAGGTACACTACACGACCCCTCTCCGGCCCGAGACCGGAGAAGGAGAGCTCCCCTCTCAAAACTAACCAACGATAGTCGTACTGATATTGGTAATTTCCAATTACCAGGAAACGAAATTAACTGACAATCACAGCTTATGACAATCAAAGAGGCACTTATCTTAATACTCCTGCGTCGTCCAACAATGGCAATACGCTGACCTCAAGGAATACGTGTGAAATTCCCTTCGACACTTATTTACTACACTTCCACCGAACACCACGAAAACACAACTTTACCTCGTGCTGTCACGGTTGATTGTGACTGTACTCGTTGAATTTCAAATTACGATTTAACATTCCACCTCTGCGATAAGAGTGCGTAATATTCGCTTAACGTAATCTAAATTGTCATAGCCGCCTATACAGATATATATTATTGCATTTCCCTTTAAATGTAATTTGATCTATGTAAATAAGTAAAAGTAAATTCACTGGTAACGGGGTCATGGCAAAGGTCCTTTAAATTAGAGTATACGCAAACCAATTGAATAATCAGATAGTACTCTAATTCGAAAGGATGTAGCAGCGCATTCAGTAACTAAGGTGGAACAACTATAAATGAATAAACAAAGCATGAAAGTTTCTCGATTCTAATGGATCACCCGGTATATCATGTGTATTCGAATAAAGGCACTCTACGTAAACACGATAACTGTCAAACGCTTGAATTCGTTTGGTTCAAACCATTGTTTGTTCAAACCTTGCACAGTTGACTTATATGCCATAAGTAATAAGCTTATTGAAAATGAGTCAAATCCAATGACCCCTTAAGGTCACACCCAGGTGCTCCGCCGCTTTTTTAGATGCTCTTTAGGGGATTATTTGCTAAGGGCTGGGCTTGGCTGTTAGAGGCCGTTATTCGGTCTTTCTTCGCTAAATTTGGCCCATCAGTTACAAGGTAATATTGAAATCATGCTTGTGGAGTGCGGTTATTTATAGGTAAAGATAAGTAATTATTATTTTATATTCTAATTTTGTAAATTCAATTATTGTAATGTAAGCGATCTGTTTGTGATATGTGACCTGTGATCATTTATATTTAGTGAGAAAAGAAACCACCATTCAATCTTTACTATAAGTACGTGGATTTTTGTTCGTATTCCCGAAATCTCCAAGAAATTCCCACGACCAACAAACCCGATTCTCGGAAGGAAAATCCAGTTTCGCTTCCAAACGAGAATGAAATTTGATTTTATAGAGCAGTTTTGGGGTTGCCTATATATCATTTAAGCATAATCGATCAAAGAAACAAAAACCTTTGCACAAGTGCAAAAGTTACAACCCCCGCAGTCGAGGATTGCTATACGTGTAGAAATTTCTAAAAAAATTACATAGGAATAATAGTCCAGTAACTTTGTTCCTAAAATGGGGGGTACCAAGCGTCAAATCCGGTAGTTCTGATTTTTTGTGGGATTGCTTATGTTGTTAACCCAATGTATAATTCAAGTTTTCGACTTCGAGCGGCGAACGCAACATACTCAAATATACTAAAAACCGAGGAATTTTCGTTTTCTTTTCAGATTTTGACGATTTTAACCCTGAAGGACCAGTTTTTCGCCAATAACGTTTCAATAAGTTTTCAAAGCAGACCAAGTTTGCTATAATTTAAGCCCACATCCGTTTGTATAGGTGTAATAGATTCCGAGATAATGCTTTTCAAAGATTGTCCATTTTTCGAATTCAAAAATCATTCACAATACTTTATGGGTGACGTTTCTATTCTGTTTTACACAGATGCCAAGAATGGGCGGTATTACTCTGAAAAATAAAACGAATAATGAATTTTGTAAGGTGGTAGTTTCTGTTGCCAACTAAACTGTCGAACAATCATTAGCTGTTAATGTCAAAGATCCAAGAGTGTAATCGTTTGATTTAGTTCTGTTCAGTTCAGTGCTGGATATTTTTACTTTACAATAATTTGATGCCACATTCTATAAGAAAATTTTTTTTCCGGGTCGATCTGAGACAATTTTTTTTTCGGGGCTCAAAAAAAGGCAGTGTATAACCTTCCTTTTTTACCAAAAATCGACTGCACCAAAATTTCTCGGGAAAACACTTTTTCTTATTAATTTTGGTGCGTAGAATCCAAAACAATTCGTACTTTTTCGATCAGACTTCTCAATCAAAAGTTATAGACTAGAAACCAGTTTCGAAAGAAAATTCAAAGGGCTGTAACTTTTGAACTAGTAGCCCCATTTTGGAACTGTTTGAAATTATGGATTCTACAGGCCACATTCTATAAGAAAATTTTTTTTCCGGGTCGATCTGAGACAATTTTTTTTTCGGGGCTCAAAAAAAAGCAGTGTATAACCTTCCTTTTTTACCAAAAATCGACTGCAAAAAATTTCTCGGGAAAACACTTTTTCTTATTAATTTTGGTGCGTAGAATCCAAAACAATTCGTACTTTTTTGATCAGACTTTTCAATCAAAAGTTATAGACTAGAAACCAATTTCGAAAAAAATTCAAAGGGCTGTAACTTTTGAACTAGTAGCCCAATCTTGGAACTGTTTGAAATTATGGATTCTACAGGACACATTCTATAAGAAAATTTTTTTTCCGGGTCGATCTGAGACAATTTTTTTTTTCGGGGCTCAAAAAAAGGCAGTGTATAACCTTCCTTTTTTACCAAAAATCGACTGCACCAAAATTTCTCGGGAAAACACTTTTTCTTAATAATTTTGGTGCGTAGAATCCAAAACAATTCGTACTTTTTCGATCAGACTTCTCAATCAAAAGTTATAGACTAGAAACCAATTTCGAAAGAAAAATTCAAAGGGCTGTAACTTTTGAACTAGTAGCTCAATCTTGGAACTGTTTGAAATTATGGATTCTACAGGCCACATTCTATAAGATAATTTTTTTTCCGGGTCGATCTGAGACAATTTTTTTTTCATATAACATACTCTTTTAACCGTTTGAAGAAGATGGTAGGATCCTTTTATCTGTTAAATACATACGGCGATGCAAAAACCGTGATCATGTTCTACAAGGCATTGATAAAATCGATTATTAGATACTGTGTGCAAATAATATGGGGGAATGCTGAAAAGGTGCACCTGAAAGAATTGGAAGACCTGCAAAGCAAAATATTAAAGATAATTAATAAAATTCATACACTAATAAAAACAATTTACTAATAAAATGCGATACATTAACTTCGAGTGGATATTTTAAGTATTACTACTTAAATCGATACAGGATGGACAATGATTATAAACACACAGGTGGTCATTCACCTGAAACCCAAAAAAAACCTTATATATCGTGCCACGTTATTTTAATAAATACGGTAAGAAAACTATAAAGTACGTTGTTCCACAACTTTTCAATGAACTACCCGATCAGTTAGAAAATAGTGAAAAAACTATTACAGGCTGTAGAAATATAATTAAACGTGACGCATATATTTTAGTAAGTATACCATAATTTACAAGATTGCACAGATAGATACTTAGGCGTTAGATAAATTTAAGTAAAATATCATGTACTTAAATAAAGTAGGTATATTTTATTGACTAATGGTCTAGCTGAGACAGTCTGCTGACATCTTCGGATCTAAATGAAATGTGTTTTCCCAATTCCCAAGAGATTCAAATCCATAGTACTTGATTTGAAAATCAACTAAAATAACATGGAAAATCACCAATAAGCTACTTGACTATATTTACTTAGCCATTGTTTCGTTTTAAATTAAGACTCATTTGAATGAAATACTATTATTTCGAAAAGGCAGTGTTATTTTTTCGAGTACCTACAAGAGAACATTTTTGTTTAAAAAAAAAAGATTTTTTCAGAATTACTCCTAAAAAATGAAGATGCTACTGTGGAAAAATCGCACCAATGCAAATGTAACTAAAATATGTGGAGGCACGGGAAAAAGGTTTTTTGCCAATTGTTGTTCCCCATGTTAACTTGAAGGATTGATAATGACTCCAATCGAAAGATTTTTTTTGTCACCTAATGGTATACGAATTACTTCATTTTCAGGTAGGTATATTGTTGATAATTTTATGAAAAATTTGCAACAATTAAATGGAAATTCTCTAAAGAATTGAAAAAGCTTTCCTTGAATTCCTAATAAATGTAAAATTCATTTCGTTTTATTAAAACTTCATTTAAATCTTTATTCGAACATTGGTTATACTAAAATATATAGGTAGATAAATTAAATTTTAGTAAATGGCTAAAAGAAGAATGTTCAAATTGATTTGATAGACTATTTGTCGTATTGTCGACACGGAAAAATAATTCTCGCACACTAGGGTAACTATTTCCGCTGTATATCTTTTTTAATTATAATTACTTTTTCCTGAGTAAAATACATTTTACCAAAAAAAAATTTATGAAATTTGTGATAAACTGATATTGATTTCCACTTGAATATTATTGCCGTCTTAACGGCCATTACAAAACGCGTATATAATATTAAATTTTAGCTTTGTTATTTCATGTCATGGATCATTGAGGTGATTGCGGTAGCGAATTTAAATAAAATACGGGAGAAGTCACCTTGTCGGTTAGATACTACTACTTTTAAGTCTTTACTGTAACATTGAAGAAAAATGGTTTCTGCGATGCGTTTATTCGAGTAATATTAACTACATAAACTTGGCGTTTCAAATTAAGGTATAAGGCTGTCATATATCTTCATTTGCATGCTTTGCATAAAATGGTCCTTTCAGACCCCAAACTTTTGACTTACTCCGATATGTTCGGCCAAGCCAACGCAACACCTGAATAACGTTTGAATCAATTTTCTGTCTTGCTAGTTATGGCTTAACATGATTTTGCTAATTTGATTTATTGCCGAATTTTTGATAAAATAATAAGAAGTACAACTGAAAATTAACTAATTCGTATATCTTTAGAAGAGAAAAATCTTCTTTCGATTGGTGTCATTATAAACACTGACAGTGGGCTGTGAACCGGCAAACCTGGCCATGTCTGAGACATCCGGACTAAACAGTACTGTATAGGTACATTTATTTAACATTTTACAACAAAACATTTGAACAAATGTTGAGACTTTTATTGCAAACGTTTACAATTTGTTCATAATTAACATATGTGGAAATAAGCAAAGGTTTAATTTTTGAGGGAGAGTTTTTAATCATGCCTATTGATTATTAGCATAAAAAAAGTTAGTTGTTGTGTACATATGCTAACAGAGGATAAACTATGAAGACCGTTTTCCATACTCAACATTTTCAAAAATATGCGTCCACATTTGTACTAAGGAGAACTTTGTGTCATTGCTAACAGAAAGAAACTGTTTGTAGATTGCTGGTTATTAGACCAATTTTACTACTGTAGTCTCAATTTTAAGCAATATTACTTATTCCTGAGCAATGTAAGTGAGAGATTGAGGTAGCCCGCCAGATTGTTAACAAACTCTACAGCACAACACCAAACCCCTTAGAATTAATCTAGAAATGTAAAAGTTTGAACAAAATAGTTATATCGTTTAGTTAAGAACTATTTTTTTTTAGAAAATGTAGGTATAATGATTGGCTGCTATTATCACATTGATTCACTGATAGAAACCTGCATGATTACAGCAAGTTCGTTCTTGCCTACTTTAGCAGGCACACTTTTATACTAACCTATTCAAAGTAAATATTAATAAACCTTTGAGCTATATTACACCTCTTGAGTTACGCAACTACTCGGCAAGATGTTTGTAAAATTTTAACAATTTATGGTTGAAGAGACCATTCTCCATTACATACACATATAATAATCCAAACAAATTTGTAATCTAACAATTTGTCCTCACTGCCTCTATGTATTTCTAAAGTACAAGTGATTGCATTCCATCTAAGCCTAATAACAACTAACATTAGGTTGATTGACATGTGAAATGCATGGACCGATTGCATATGCGGGGTTGATAGTCATTATTATATAACTAAAAGAATTTAATGCAGTAGGATTGTCTTGAGTTACATCACCATAAGATTTAAGTGACGGAAGGTTTGTGAAAATATAATTAATACTTATTTGTACCAAGTAGTGGTAGTTGACCCAATGTTGCACTGCCTAAGCGCGAAGTTCTGGGTTCTATTTCTAAAGAAAGACCATACAGCTCCTCTTCGTCCATTAGTAGTGAAGTATCTAATAAGTAGTTCGCAACCTTGACGATTAAGTCAATTTTATATGGGGTTTGTTGAAAATGGCGAATTTCTCTTATAACATGGGCAATCTAAACGAAAAGAGTTATATACGTGCTTCCTACATCAATTTATTACCATTCTCATTTTGGCAAAGTTTAATAATCCATCGGGCGTAAAATTTGCGGTACCTTCTTCAATAAACGAAAGATCGGTCAAATATAGCCCAAGGTAAGGAATACAAGGAGGATCGCAACGATGAAGCGCATCACGTAGTGCACGAAAACGTCCATCAGACGTCACTATATTTTGTAACTTTTCTATGGTTTGCTTGGTCTAAAACATTTCTTTAAAGTCAAACGTTGAAACTGATGTACCTAACAAACCGTTTTGGACACTTTTTCCCAGGTTTTTTTTAATCTAAATATTGAACTATTAGTGAAAGCGGAGCAAATTTGTAAAACACCATTAAAGTTGTGCAAACATCTGCATATATCTGCAACAGCTGCCCATTTTTCAATAACAGCCACTCGTGCTGTTAAATTTCTTCTCCGTATAATTTCGGAGGCTACTAACGTCGATACGTCATTAAAGCGTTTTGTCATCAGAATTATGTGGGATGCTTTGCTGCTTTTATCATTTTTCATCCACGCCTGTCCCAAAAATTCACTAAAACACTGCAAATTATAGACAATCTAAATCGAGCGACACGACTTACTGGCTAGCTATTGTCACGAAAATCTGGTGATCAATGAACGTTAATTGCTCCGCTATTTCAAGAGCAGACAACGTTTCTATACTCTCTTTAGTGGGGGTCTACGATTAAACTGTAAGTAATTCGGCTGTTGCACAGATTACTTACGATGGGAGGAGCGAGCAAGGTAGATAAGTCAACTTTTGAGCTTTCCGGTTTTTCCTTGGTAAGCAATCGTAATAGTTGAGCAGCTGCTTTATGTTCAGCTGGTAACAAATTCGGGCTATAAATGACATCCTCCAAAAACTCGATGGTTAAGGTTTTTAGTCGTTGATCGTTGTCAAAGTCTTGCGAATGTTTTGAAATCCAATGTCTGAAATTAAAAAAAAAACTAAGAATTAGGTTAAATTGGTCCGTACTTACCTAAACACGTTTAGAACTCTCATTGTGCATGCCGTCGATATAATAGTTTCCTTGCACCTACTCCTTTCAGAAGAGAACTCGTCTTGTGATTCGGATATACTCGACTTCGCATCACCGCGCGAACCAGGTGACAGGTCTCTGGGGTTACTGGATCCTGAAGTTGCAATGGCAAAAGCTGCAGCGGCACTGGAAGTACTGCTTCTAAAACATATCGAATTACATACCCAAGCGACGTCATTTAAACACATACCGTCGTTTAGATTGCCGAAATGACGTGATCACGACCCCAGCTTTGCTAGGCTTTTGGGGCGATTCGTGTTGGAAACTCGATCGTGGGGTCGAAGTGTCTCCTTCTTGCATAGAACGTCTTGAGCCGTAGTAGCTCTAAACCAACTTATTTTTATATCTGTAACTGACGATATCATACCCATACCTGTAATACTGTACTTGTATAGGCAGTGGAGATAGAAGCAGAACGTGACGAACTAGAAGATGTCCTATGAATCGTGTTGTAAAATATGTTAAATTCGTCCGATTGATCTGCAAGGTAACATCTAGAATTTGACTTCTACGAATATAACAAGCATCAAACCTTCTATATCTTCAGAGATTGCTCTTTCTGCCACTTTCTCTGGAGGTTTAGAAGTAGTCGAGCGATTTGAGGTCGGACCAGGGGTTTCTGTAGAAGGAGAATGCATTGGAGTAGTTTGAGTTCCTTGAGAAAAATTTTGATCTACTGTCGTATCTATCAACGTGACTGAACTTAAGTTGCTAGGCGAACATGGTGCACTAAGTACAGTTAAGTCTAAACAAAGTTTCGATAACTACATAATCTTCGCTAGTGAGTTGCATTTCACCTGTCAATGTTTCGCTACTGCTGGACGCGGTAACTTTCGGGATTGATAAATGAGAGTTGTTATCTTGAGAATCCTTTGTTTCTTCTACTCTAATGGAAATACATTTTTGTGTCGGAGGAGAAAGATTGTCTTGTACCTTGGCATAACTTTGATTTGGAGGACTTAGCTTTGACATACGAGAATAGGTTTGCTCTGAAACTCCGTGCTCTTTGCTTTCGTCATCTATAGCATAGAATAGGAAAAATGGTTCAACCATAGTAAGTACTTACATCTGTGCAGTGTTGATCGCCAATGGCTATGACCTTGAGAATCATAGCTATGTGAGCGATCTCTTTCACTAAGTTCAGATCCGTAGCCCGAAACTGAACTAGCGCCGCTCGTACGTCTTGGAGAGGAGATGTTATGTCTTTTATCATCAGGAAGTAATTGCGAAGTAGATTCATCTTTTTGCACAAACGCTTCTAAGGATATCACTGAACCTTGCGGTTCCGAATCCGAACTGTAGAAAACCTTTTTGAGGGCCTCAAGAACAGTAACACTGTCGGTAAACACGCGATACGTGAGCAGAAAGGTATTAAGAAAGTCTATCGAGAGGAACCTCAAATCTGAAAAGAACTGCAATGTTTATCGAACAACTGTCGGGATATTTTCTTGTACCTTTAATGATTGTGTAGAAAGTTGGTCAGGGGGTTGGGATATCATGCATTTTCAAAAGTGAGAGTAAATGATAACGAAAGAATTACTTGGTCCCCAGATTATAAGGATTTAACACCAGTCAATGAACGATGTGAGAACATAAAGATCATTGTCCATTTAATTTACCAGTTAATCTCTGAAGCAGCCGTTCAGGAGTAGCGTAGCGAATTTGTGGAACCTTACAAGAATTCAGTGTGCGACTAAATCGAATATCGGCTTCGTCCTTAAATAACTTGGGGTCGTTTTTCATCGACTGAGGTAGGCTTATAGAGCTGTTATCAGCAGAACGCCGAATCATATCATTAAACTGTACATTATCTAGGCACTGATTGATGTCCGAAATCCACGCAGCCTTTTCTTGAATCGTCGGAGCGATTAAATGGACGCATATCTAAAGCAAGTACTTTTGCTGTAAAAACAAATTTCTAAAACAAGCCTAATTTACCTGGCTTGGTTGGGCACCAGATTTTATATCCACTATTAGTTTGAAATCTCTGTTTTGAAACTGTCCTAAACCTACCGTTGATACTTCGCTAACACTAGAAGAATGACTTGATACCGAACAAATCGAAGACTCTATAAACTCGAATAGTAAGCGCTTACAAATCACCACAACGAAAGACTGTACCATCGTCTTCTGATGGATTCTCATTGGGATCTTCTACCAACAAAGTATCAGCCAGGGGAATCTTTCCAATTTCCGGAACGAGATGTAATTTTCCACTTGATGACCTAAACATATTTTGAATCATTTATGATGTTCAGCTGCTATCCCTTAAATGGCAAGCCCGATTTTAATCTAACGTACCGAGTGTATTTAGATGAATTTAAAAAGTACTTTGCTAAATAAAAGATCTAAGACGTGATGACAATAGTTAGATATACATATTGAGGATGAGGATGTAGATTTTAGAATCCCTGCTTTTGCTGAACTAACGTTTCGAAGGTATTTTTGTATAGGTGGTCACTTCATTTTCTCACTGGTCACTGATATAAATATTATTGGTACACTTTTGAATTCCACCCATCTGTTGGATACATTAATGTGTTTTCCTCGAGAGCATTAGAACACGTGTTATTGTACTGTTTCTCCCATCGCATGAATTTAGAAAGCTCTTATAATGCGTTAATCCAGATTCTTGGGGACTGTTTGTCTTGTGTTTCATTAATAAAAATCGCGAATACATATTTGAGAACGTCTCATTGTCGACTTATGAATTTATCGTTTGTACTCATAGTATACCAACCTTTGGAACACGTTACTATTTGTATAGTAAGATTACGTACTGAGTTTCCTGCAAATGTGTGTGATTCGGATCACAACAGGTGAAGTGCTAAAAAAATAGTATTGCAAGATAATTACGTAATTAGTAACATGTTAATGGATCCGATCACGATTCAGAGCAAACGAAAAATCCATGCCACATCCTTTGGATGTAGGTACATAATTATAATTAAATTGAGAAAACATACCGACTGGCAATAATCAAGTGGTTTGAAAAAAGGAAACACTGCCTCAAATGTTCTTTTTCACTTTTAAAGTTCAGCTTACTGCGTGGTGTTCTGGGTTTTTCAGACGGAGCCTGAATTAGACTTCCTAGAACAATCAAATTAAAAACATTTTACAGTTCATACAAACGTCACCTTGTCTAACGAACACCTGGTTAACGTCTAATAAGATGTCACACCCTTCCACAATCATTCGTTCTAATGCTAGGTTTTTTCTCAAATTTTCTGTCTCGGATACCTACAGCGTGCAAAGTTAGCATTAAGACATTTCCATTACTTCTTTACCTCGTCGTGCATTTGGCGTGATAGATCTTCCAATTGTTGCCGAGCATTTTGCAAACTTTTACGCTCCACGTGATCGTGGGGAGTGTGAGCAAGTAACTCATGTAGAGTAATGATATATCGAGGAACCTACGAAATGAAGATGAGGTATCGGTACATCAGCAACAAGAAGTCTTTTTTTACCTGATGCATTGGATATGTAAGAAATGTTTCTAAAGAACGGCCATGACATGCTGTTTTGTTCTCCAATCGTGCTAACAAGGCTGCGAAAGGTTGTGTTTGTTTGCATTCGGTCAAGACTTGCAAAGAGTAATGGTGATTTCGAACGTATTCTTGATAAATACTTAACATTGGGAGAAGCATTGAAAATAAATCGCCTATGGTAGCAATCGTTATTACAAATTAATTTAACACTACCTACAGCTCTCACCTAACACTAAAGTAGGCCAACTTTCTAGGCGCGAAGTTAACCCCTTGAGAAATATCTGATGAAGGAATAACACGGTTTCGCTATTTAAAAATATTGAGTTAACGTCTTCGTGTGAGCAAGGAGGTTTTTTTGACGACGCAGCCATTTTAAACGGTCGCAAAAAGCATGATATGAGAACTTCCATTTGCTCAGTATACTCCTCTTCAGATTCCACCATACGAAACACAAGACAATTACGTTTTCTCATACTTTCTGCGTGCGGACTTTTGATGTATTGTTCGACAATCTGTTTCCATCTTCTTCTACACAGCCACCCTCTGAAGAAACTCTGAACCTTTTTTATTTTCCTTAGTTCAGCGGAGTCTTCTCCCACGTTACTTAGAAGACAACTCTCCGACGTAGTACCTTGACTTGAACTTGAACTTCTTGTGGATTGATATCCACAAGACGGCCTCCATTCCTTTTTCAAAGCGAAAAGCTGTAAATCATTAACTGTACAATAAGATAGCAAGATTTTCATATATACCTCCGCACGTAATTTCTTTATTTCTGAAGCAAGCTCCTCACATTGCTGAGCGTATTGCCTTTTTTCAGTCTTCTGGGACTCAAATATTTGCAAGAGATGAATATGTTTTTGTTCTAATTCTTCTTTTTGTAGGAGTAACTTATTGAAACTGTAATCAATAAATAATGCACTTTCAGATATTGTTTAGAATATTTGCGGAATAGTAATAATAATAAAGGACTTTATTTGCATCAAGTAAATGGACGAATTTATTGATATATACGTATTATACATTTTACTCGCCGCATATACAAGGTGAGTTTTTCTTCATTTTCACTGTGGGGAAGTCGTAAACCGTAAGCGATACAAAATCGTTTAAATGGACATTAATTTTTTATAGCACTACATATAGCGAAGTTATGTCCCAAAAACCGAAAAATGTCATTTTGTAAAATGCGCTGGCGTTCATTTATTTTCAAAGATAACAAAAAATAATTTTAACAAACCCTTAGTAATTTTTTCTCAGCTTTCTGGCAGTCCTAAAATAACATTTTTATGACTTGTGGGTTTCGAGTAAATCACATCAACTTTCTTATTTCTTATGGACCCCATATGGTATTTTTACGTCACTCGATAGGGAAAAAATTACAAAACCAGTGAGATTTAGTAGGCAATTCATTAGGGAATCAACCTCGAATTTTTGCCTTGAAGTTTAAAATGTACTTCTTATGGCAATAATTCCAAGGCTGATTGTGATTGAAACCAAATTCATTCGTTTATTGTCTCTCATATAGTCGCCACCCATCAATACGACTTATTACTATGGTGAACTTGAAGGTGAAAATTCAAGATTTGTATTTGGTATCGCCGATTTTGTAATTTTTTTCTCTATCGATTGACCTAAAAATCCAATATGGCGTCCATAAGTAATAAGAAAGTTGATGTAATTTATTTGAAACCCACATGCCATAAAAATCATCAGAAAACAGAAAAAATCACTAAACGTTTGTTAAAATTATTTTTGATAACTTCGCCTCCAGTGCATTTTCGAAAATGACGATTTTCTTTTTGTTGCACATAACTTCGCTATTTGTGGAGTTACAAGAAACTCTCACGGGAGAAATTAATGAGCATAAAATTCTGTAGAACTTTGCTCATTTACGCGACTTTCTATCTCTATACGGTTTACGAGATCCCCGTAGTGAAAATGAAAAAAACTCACTCTGTATACTCGCGGCCGAATAGAACCGTTTTCCATCAAATAGTCCTCGCATCAACGAGGAAGAACAATTGGTTTTTTTTAATATAAAACCCGTAAGCTCAGACGTTTAAGAATATGGATACGGTCGAGTGCAAAAGCAATTGAATGCATTTCTTAGTCTATTACGGCAAGCATTTCATGGCTAAATTGAAATTTTCATTAAAAAATTCAAAGAGAATTTTCCTAAGGATTAGCTTTAGAATATGTGGAAAAGTTGCTTTATTTTTGGGGAAAATGACATCTAGACGCGCAATCACGTGCATTGTTTTTTCTCAATGTATAAAGTGATACAGAGCGTAATATTAAAATAATAAAAAAAACATAGTTAAGAGTTAATTAATTTGCATTTTTTAATTGCATACCTGGCATCATGGATGGCTTCAATCCAGCTTTTACATTCTGTTTCGGATAAAGCTCTAAGCTCATAGTGCCGTTGATTTTCTCTGCGATACGTTATTGAAAAGCAATACTAGAATAAAAAGAGTATAGAAATTACAAAGGGTTCTACATAATTTGCTTTTATTTCTGTATTGTATCCATTTCCAACCGAATGCTTCCTTGAAATAAATAAGCTCTACTAAATAACCAAAAATCGTTATTTGGAATAGTTTCATATTACTTTGCAAATAATGTAGGTTATTTGCAAAGTAATATGATCTGCTTAACTCTTCTTGTGAACCTGTTGCCTGAATTCCAAATCATTAAGAAGCGGAGCGACTCCGGGAATAGGACCGTGTCAATGTTAAATGAAAAGTCAACGTTTCGCCCACTTTCGTAAGGGACTGGATTAGAACAAGAAACAAATATCAATCAAAAATAAAAATAAAATACGTACCAACTTTATATAATATTCTATTTTTATTTTTGATTGTTATTTGTTTCTTGTCTCGTGGAAATCTCCGCTCTAACTCGAAATCAGCATGTTTTTGAGAGGTAGTTAAGTAACTTTCTTCAACGAATTAATAAAGTATATATTTCGTCCATATTATCTTTTACAAAGCACATTTTAATACCGTCCAACTTTGCATCTGACTCGATTGACTCGAAAGCAATATTATTTGATGAGATATTCATTTCTATGTTTTTAACTTCAACAAGAAATCTACATTTCCAGGGAGCTATAAGGTATACAACTTTGGTCAAAGCGAAGAATGACAGCTTTAAGACTATTTGCAGTGTGTTTGATAGATGGAATCATCCTGCAGTAGTTTTTGTAAACTAGGCATGAAAACAAAAGATTATAGCAACAAACAAATTTTCGTTTTTCAATATAGTTCGCCTGCTTTTGAATACATGTATAAGTAATAACACCGTTTCAATAACATCTTTAATCCAGTATAAAAATATTTATTTCATCCTATAAGTTCGTCATTGTCTCTAAATTTTGCCCCCCCCCCCTTAGTGTTTTTTTTTTAATTCGGAAACAAAATATAGTCACTAAGTGCTAGATCTGAACTACAAGGCGGATGTTCAATTTTTTCGAAACCACAATCAGCTACAGAGGCTTTTGAAAGTTTGGACTTGTGCACTGTCGTAGAGCAACAAGACCCCCTGCTTCAGTTTTCCGCGTCTCTTCAGTTTAATAGAATCTCTAAGGCGATGCATCAGGTTAGCATAATACTCTCTCGTTACCATACTTACTAACCTTATTCGTATAATCAATCAGAAAAATTCCCTAAGTATCTCAAAAAAGAGACGGGTTTTAACTTTTTGGGTAGGCTGGAGCCCTTAACCTGTCACTGCATCGCCTCTTGTTTCGATTCAGGATCATAGGTAATACTAAACCCAGGTTGCATTTTCCAGTGACAAGTCGATTGATAATTAAAACTGGTTCATCTCCACCGCGCGCCAAGAATTGTTCACAAATCACAAGTCTCTACATGGACACGCCTTTGGAATTGCGAAAGTTTTGTTATCCCATATAGTACTCGTGTAAATTTCTGAAAACCGCGGGTTCTGAAACTCCTAGTACCAAACACCTGGTTTTTCCAACTCTAAAGTGAACACGTCAACAGGGCGCCTTAGACGGTGATCATCAACCACTGATTCTAGACCATGTGCAAATAGATGACGTAGAAGGACAACCATCCCAGTAGGTATACAGACAACATTTCGTCAAGAATAATTTTTGGAGGTTTTCCAGGAATTTTACAACTGGTCGGTATTCGATTTTATTCATTTCGATACAACGCGCGATGACACTAACTGACAGATAATAAAATTAATAATGTTGCAATTGTTTTGTAAGTTGCCAACCAATTTACAAAGGCATATGTGTGTGAAACAAAACAAAAAAACTCCTTGATTAACTAACCAAGGTGATTAAGCATTGATTAAATATTTGTCAAAAATTGGCGCCGGCAACGTTGTACTTTTATGGAAATGTGTGATTTTTTTTTGACAAAACCTACTTTTTTGACCATATAGAATTGGCTTTTCTTTCTTGTTATCTGTAATTTCTAGTCAATTTATATGTTTGTGTTAACAATGAAAAAAAAGATCCGTAGCTGTACAAAACTTTAAATTTATTTGGTTTTCCCTTGCCTTGCGCAGTTCAATTTATTTTATTTTTGTGGAAAGAGAATGTGGATTGTATGATTTTGATTTGTAATCGTCGAACAATATACACGATTTTGAACCAGCAAAACATGGTCCTTCGAGCCGGATTTGTATTACTTATTACAATTGTAATAAGCGTTAATCATTACGCGAAGTATTTGGATAATCATTACGCGAAGTGTATTTCTCGTTCTCGCTCTTGCTCGTATATTCTTTAGTTCCTCGCATCAAGATAGCCGTCCAGGTGTTGCAGTCACGCAAGGCCACTACGAAGATACCGGCCAACAAAACATTTCGTCCTCGTCTCGTTATCACCAGAAGTTCTATCCAACAGCACGATAAGTCCCAGGCTTTATTCTTCACGAGTGATTAGGAAGTTGCAAGAGTTTACTTCATCACTAGCAGTAGCACCATCGAATACGCATCAACATAAGGTCAGATCATTCCTTTTTTTACATTATTATTTCCTTATCACACGTACCTGTCTTTACCATGCCGAATAAAAAAGAACAACTTTCAGTTTCAAGTTTGGAGCTAAGCGCAACTCTAATTGAAGATTTGCAGCGATTAAAAAACAAACGCTCCTATTTAAAAAAACAACTTACCAATTTGCAAAATTATTTAGACGAACCAGATTCTGACAGTTGTAAGAATAAGGTTCAGAAACAATTCGAAGTTTGCGAAAGGGCTATTGATTCTTTTGAGTCATTTTTGGAAAGCATATTCGATGCTGACCATGACGATTTGTTTGATGAGTTTTTTTCAGAAAAGTCCGAGACGGATACATTTTTCGGCGTCTTAAAGACTAAAGTTATTTCAAAATTTGGCAAAGATAATCCGTCCACAGATACGGACACTTCTCCTATCGAACGCAAATTGGCACGCTTGCCCCGTATTAATTTAACATCATTCTCGGGAAAATACGAAGAATGGTTAAGTTTCCGCGACTCTTTTCACTCTCTAATCGATTCGAATAAGTCACTAACAACAATTGAAAAATTTCAATATTTAAAAGGTGCTGTAATTGGCGAAGCAGCAGCCGTCATAAAATGTTTGGAAACATCTGAGGCTAATTATGATCAAGCCAAAGATTTACTAAAAAGTAGATATGAAAATAAACGCGTCATTATCAGTAATCACATTAAAGCTATTTTTGAATTGCCTGTAGTTACAAGAGAATCGCACGATAATTTTCGCAACATGTTCGATTCCATTTTGCAGCACACACGTGCGTTAAAAGCAATGGGTCGCCCGGTAGAAGGTTACGATGACTTTCTGATTTATTTAATCACATCAAAATTCCCATTTTCGACACGTAAGGAATGGGAAGATAAGGGTAAGGTTTCCGAATTGCCTACTTTACAATTACTAACGGATTTTTTGCTGCAAAAATGTCACACTTTAGAAACAATACACGCAAATGAAGTTACTTTTCATCCAAATAAACAAATTGCCTCTCACAATATCAAGCGTTTCTCGAATAGTGCGAATTGTATTCTCAATACAAACATTTACTGTAACATTTGCAAGAGAGCTGATCATTTTGCCAGTCAGTGTCCAATTTTGTTGGATTTACCTGTGAACAATCGTATTTTGAAGGTTAAAGAAAGAAATTTATGTATAAACTGCTTAAGGGTAGGTCACAAATCAAGAGAGTGTAAATCTTCCCGATGCAAAAAATGCAATGGTGCTCACAATACCATTTTGCACATAAACCCTAACATAGAACATTCAGAAGGCCAATCTAGTAACCAGCCAGCGGCTGTAAATGTAACCGTTGAATCTTCTTCCTTGCATTTATCTAATTTAACCCATGTACCTTCCAACGTGGTTTTATCAACATGCTTACTACAGATCAAAGGTAATGACGGGGTTTTTATAGATGCACGTGCAATACTGGATTCTGGATCTCAAATTAATATTATATCCACGAAATTGTGCAAAAGGTTGGGATTAATATCAAATACAGTTGAGCTATCTATAACAGGCGTTTGCAACAAGTTTACAAAATGTAATCATATCACAACGTCACAAATTAGGTCAAAATATGGCAATTTCTCTATCAATTTAAATTTGTATGTGTTAGATTATATCAGGAGTTATTTACCCACGAATTTGTTCAATAAGATTAACGTAAATTTACCTCAAAACACTTTCCTCGCGGATCCTGATTACAATATGGGCGGTGAAATAGATCTACTGATAGGGGCGGAAATATTTTACGGTTTACTTTTAGATGGGATAATTCACGCACAGCCAAAAGGATTAATACTAAAAGAAACAGTTTTCAGTTGGATAATTTCAGGTAGCATATCAGCTCCTAGGCCAAATAAATTAGCCTCGTGTAATTTAACTACGTTGCAAGAGTTAAACGAAAAGATCTCCGCATTTTGGGAAGTTGAAAGAGTTCCTAATATTCAAATAAGGTCCTTCGAAGAACAAAGATGTGAAACGCATTTTCAAAAAACAATTACTCGTGATTCCAGTGGTCGATTTGTAGCGTCGCTCCCTTGGACGACGAACCCAAAGTTGTTAGGGCATTCGCTAGAAATTGCTAAAAAACGTTTTCTAAATTTAGAGCGCAGGTTACTAAATCACAACGAGGAAAAATTAGAGTACGATAAGTTTTTGTGTGAGTATTTGCAATTAGGTCATATGCGCGAAATGGGAACGAAAACGCGAATGGTTTTGGTTATTTTTTGCCACACCACGCAGTCCATAAAGCCGATAGTTTAACCACGAAAACAAGGGTTGTTTTCGACGCGTCTTCAAAAACGTCTACGGGCGTCTCGTTAAATGATCTTTTAATGACTGGCCCGGTAATCCAAAGCGATTTATTTAGTATCCTAATTAGATTTCGATTCCACAAATACGTTGTAACTGCAGACATCAGCAAGATGTATCGGCAGATATTGATTAATCCCGATGACACAAAATTTCAACAAATTTTGTATCGTTTTGAGCACAGTGAGCCGATAAAGGTATTTGACATTTGAATTACTTACATTAACTTATGGGACGCGACCGGCTTCATTTATTGCAACGCGATGTTTAAAGGAATTGGCTCTAGCAATTGAAGATCAACCGCGAATTCAGAAAATTATCATGGAAGATTTTTACATGGATGATCTTATCACAGGGGCGGATAACCCCCAAGAATTAGTCTTTATCCGTGATAAGGTAAATCATATACTTTCGGAAGCAGGATTTCATTTACGCAAATGGGCGTCAAACAATCCAGACGTTTTAAATGGGTTTCATATGACTAACGTCACAAATTTAATATTGAACCTTAATCACGATGAATCTTTAAAAACATTAGGGGTAGGTTGGGCTCCTTCTTCAGACCTGATCCAATATAATGCGCATATGAATTCTACGAGATCAATCGTAACAAAACGGTTCATTTTAGCTAACGTCTCACAAATCTTTGATCCCTTAGGTCTTGTAGGTCCAGTCACGGTTATGGCAAAGCTGCTTATGCAGGACATTTGGAAATTACGCATTGGTTGGGATGTGGAGCTCTCGCAAAATTTAAAGCATCGTTGGGAGGAGATTTCAAGTCAATTACTTACCATTGGGGTAATAAAAATTACGCGATGCGTGGCAACAGATCCTACCTCCAGTTTAGAATTACACGGATTTTCAGACCCCAGTGTAAGGGCGTACGGTGCCTGTATCTATATCAGGGAAATTTTAGTAGATAATTCGGTACGATGCCAACTGCTATGCGCTAAATCACGTGTAGCGCCGCTGAAAACTTTAACTTTGCCAAAATTAGAACTATGCGCTGCTCTACTACTAACTGATTTAGTTGATAAGGTTTTAAATTCATCGCGAAAAGAATTTGCACGAGTTATATATTATTGCGATTCAACAATCACTTTGTCTTGGATAAAGGGTTGTCCAAGTAGATGGAAGGTTTTCGTTGCTCACAGAGTTGCAGATATCCAATCTAAATCTAACATCAATAATTGGGTTCATGTTCCTACGCAAGACAATCCTGCCGATATTATTTCCCGTGGATTATTACCGAAACAGTTGTCCAGTAGCAAATTATGGTGGAGCGGTCCTAATTTTTTACTAGACCCTAATTACTCGCCTACTATATTTTATCCCGATGAGATATCAATGGAAGCAAGGGTTTTAGTTGCATGCAAAAATATAAACTTTCAACAATTCTCAGATTTCATTTTTAATAAATTTTCTACGTTCGAAACCCTTATAAGAGTAACCGCATTCGGCAAACGTTTTATAAACAATTGCAGAGATAAATCTAAAAAAGTGGTAGGTAAATTATTACTATTGGAAATTAATGAAGCAGAAGCGATGCTTGTGAAAATGGTACAAGAAGAATCCTCTGTCTCGTTGGCAACGTATTCAGCAGTTGCGGCAGCAGTTTTGGAAGAAGTGGAGTCGAGATTATGTCCAAGAGCTCCAAAGGCGTCAAAAATGAAAAATTCCAGGAGATACGACTCTTACCGTTGGTCAACTTGTGCTTCTTCAAGAAGACAACGCTCCGTCACGTCATTGGAAATTGGGTCGTGTCACGAAAGTCCATCCTGGTCCAGATAACGTTGTGCGTGCGGCAACAATTAAGACGTCACATGGTGAAGTAAAACGACCATCAGTGCGATTGTGTGTGTTGCCAACAAATTAACGAGCCGTCAAGTGTTAGTAGCTTGATGTTTCATTTTTTTATTGTTGACTGTATGTACATTAATATTTTTTGTGATGCCATTTGTAGCGGCAACTTAGTAATGACAACAATTGGTTAAGTTTTGAATAATATTTAGTTGAAATACTTACCTATGTTAAATATTTCAAGGGGGCCGACTATGTACAAAACTTTAAATTTATTTGGTTTTCCCTTGCCTTGCGCAGTTCAATTTATTTTATTTTTGTGGAAAGAGAATGTGGATTGTATGATTTTGATTTGTAATCGTCGAACAATATACACGATTTTGAACCAGCAAAACAGTAGCCAAAACTTTACCGAAGTGCATAGAGAACATTGCAAATAATTGATTGAATCATAAGCAAATATTACCTTCTTATTATAATAACTTAGTGACTGTCCAGAGTTCGTTCAATAAAAGTTCCGGTTAAACGTCCATTGAGTGCTTAATTTTATTGAAAGTGGAGCTTATTCCAACATATATTTTTAACTGCTAGAATAATTTATTACAGTAGCTAAAATATCATATTTAATTAATGATATTAAGCACTGCTTTCTTATAAAGTTCTTCACCTTTACACCTCTCGATGCTGCATGCCCTCAGCCTTATATCAATTCCGAATGCTCATTTTTTTCCAATTTATAGTAAGGAACATATAAACTAGAATCCAGAGTGACAAGCTTTCAGATACTTCCGCATTTCTGAAACATCAAGCCCATGGGAGTTCGTCACAGAAGATTTCATTTCTGAATCAATCACCAAAAAACCAGTAAAGCAATCGAGCAATTGAACATTGTAAGAATGTTCAGACAGGGGCGGACTGACCCGGGGGAGCGGGTGGCGGTTGCCACCTGGCCTGTAGATCATAATGACCCGTTGGAAATTTATAAGTATGTGCTGTATTTAGTTTCTTGCACTATTAATAAATTATTAACACGTTTCTCTAATTGGGGTTGATATTAGGTTGTTAAAAAAATCTGTTTTAATTGAAGTGTTTTACAATGAATTTATCATTTTTTGTCGTAGCATGAAAGTGCTGAAATACAATGATAGGCGACGCACCTCGTGTGGATTGTATATTTTGTTACTTTTAATTATCAGCTGCAATTTAAAAAAAAACTGTATGGTAATTGATTTTCGAGAAAGGAGCACTGTTTTTGTGGTGCATCTCAGAGCTACCCCCCCCCCCCATTATACCCACAAACAACTTGTTTCGTATTCCATGCGCCAGTACATCCCTAGTGAGAAATTTTTAGACGCATTTTTGCTTTTAAAGATATTGCATTTTAAATTAAAAAAACAATAAGTGTTTTAAAATACTGTTCCCTAAGTTATACTATAGGTACAATAAGGAATTTAATTACCTGTTTATCGCTTCCATCTTTTGCTTTTGAGGTGTGACCCGTTGTTATAAGTCGTTCACAGTAGCATCCCTCCAACAATAACACGCCACTGGGCCTATGACACTGTTCCGAATCGTAATAGAACATAAGATTCTGAAAACAAAATTATAAACCTTAGTCTATATATTTTTAATTAGTGAACATGTTGGATTTTTATGAGCAACACTATAAGGCTTGTCACAAGACCTCAAATTTCCAGCGATCTATTAGAGCATTTTTTTGTTTCTCTGTTCTAAAAAGACTCGTCGAAATCAGCTCATGCGTTTAGTTTTATGTAATATAAACATGAGAGTGGAGTAGTGTCTCTAGTTGGTTTATGTTATATTTATGGTTAGACTAGAGACTAGACAAACAAGCAGATATTTACGTTTATGATCTCTACGTTACTAAACAAACCAAAACCTGTGAATACTAAAAATTATGTTTTTCCCCCAAATTTGCCGCCCCTAAAATTTGTCGCTCTATGCGCGAGCCTAATCCGTCTTATGGGAAATGCATCCCTGAAGACAAAACACACTTTCAGACCAGTCTTAGAAAATTTCCGCAACCCGTTTGCACATTGATAGATGGTCCTGGGGTAAGACAATAGAATCTCAGAAAAGCAAAATCACCCACAGTCGCCGTAAATGAAGTATGAGCTAGAGTTGCTTATTTCAATGGATCACAATCCTCAACAAATTATGGGACATATATGTAACATGGAAGGGCATTCATGGTTTGCTATAAAATTTAGGTACATCGTAGGTACGTACCTAAAGTGGCAGAAATTACGCAGAATCCCACCCGCTTCGTTGAACAAATCTCTATATGTGGGAACTTATATATACTCTTCTTACTGTATCCAACCTTTTAAACAACCGTCGAAGCCTCCAATGCGAGTGTCTATATAGTATACGAGATGTCGAAGTATACTCACAACTCAAAAAACAACGTGGAAAGTCAGAATGAGGTGTATCAGTCGGTTTGGTCAAAACTTTAAAGACGAGTATGTTAAGTCAAAAAACGACCACGCAACGGTTTCTGTTATTTCAAAAAAATTAATCAGTCAAATCAGAGAATCAGATTTGCGCGCAGAATCGAGTGTACTCATTGAAATAAATACACGTTACAATGCCTATCAGTAGAGGCTACGTCCTTCCTGGGAGTACACTTCCGCTTTTGGAATCTGGGTTTTATCTTCTCGGTGGTTGCTAACTTTTCTCCGACAGTTTGATTTCGAAACCCTGGAAAATTGTCTACGTTGCTTTACCGCGATCAAGACAGTACATAATATATCGAGACTCACAATGGTCCATATTATTTTTAATAATACCTACATATTTGGTTTTACCAAAAGTTTACATTTATTATTAATTTGAGTGCTGGTAGAATTAGGAGCTTTGCTTGTCGAATTTTCACACCGTTGAAAAACTTCTTTCCCTGATTTAAATTTCACATCCATCGAGAATTTGTATAAGAATTGGAACTTTGATGATTCAATTATGATCGGATACGCATTTTGATGTAATTCTTCTGATTCTTGTGAGATGGTCGGGACCATATCCCCTACTTGTTCGTTTCTTCACCGCAGTAGTAATGGTCTTCAATTGCGGAATAAGTTTCGGTTGGAAACAGTCTCCTTGATTGCGCTTGTACTATGTAAAAGCTCTCTCTTAGACACATAGACCAAATAGTTAGGGACGTAGGCAAGGGTAGTTATATAGAAGTTAAAAGGTTATCGCAGGATAGGAAAGGGTGGAGGACTGCGTCCAACTAATCCTAGGGTTGTGGGCTCCAAGAAGAAGAAGAAGAGATCTTTCACATTATTCGTTTTTTTAACGGGCTGGTAAACTGACGGGCCGGTGAAATTATCGGACACGCAACCATTCATACGTTTCCGGTGAATTTGTCTTTAGTTTAGATCCTTTAGATCCAGTTGAACAGTTGTAATTAGCAGTCGTCGACTTTACACTATGGAAGAAGAACGCAAAAAATTAATAATCGAGTATTTTCTTTCAAAGCGCGGCAAACTTCCTTCCTTGCCGCTCTGGTTTTGGTCCTTTCTATCCTTAACAAGCATCTCAAGCACGTAGCGTGTTGTTCCACAATAATGTAGTCAATATATCTTTAGGTCGATCTCTTGCTCTATTTCACAACGTAGGTACAACACAACTGAACGACTGCATCAAATTGCATATAAATTTCCTACCGAAATAAATTAATACGGACAAGTGTGAACGAGTCCATAAGCCTTCATCTATTTCTAATAAACACTCCCGTTTTTCATCGGTCCGGAAGTCGATTAGTGTGTATGCTCAATTCCAACTGAATGTGCTACAGCATCCGGTAATTTCACCGGTCCGTCACTTTAGTTGTAGTGTGAAAGGGTTCGAAGGGTATTTTGGGACGAATATAGTTTGGTTCTGGATAACTGGATAATTGTGCTAAAACTTGATAATATGATAAACTATATTTAATTTAAATCAACAATAGAATTTACATAAATTAACTAGATAGAAACTATAACGATTAAAATTATAAGTTAACGAGAACAAACAAAATCACACTTTCTCTTCATACGAGTAGAATAGCACATTTCAGCCATTTAGTTGCTATAACTAAATCTAAAATTGGTTTGTAATTCTATAAATTTATTAATTTGCGTTACATTGCGAGAGTTGCGAGACACATTCATTACGATTATTTACATTAATCAAATCTGGCAAATTAAAATCTCTTTACACTGCGTGCTTGTAAAAATCTATCCTACCCTGAAGCCATTCCTGACTTGGAAGGGTGTAAATTTTGTAACGCTGTGTATAGAATTATTATATGCTAAAACTGCTCGCTTAATTAGTCGATCTGTAAACATTTCAGTATGTTCGTCTTTAAACAGCGATAGACCAGCTCCGACTATTGAAGAATGAAACCTGCCTACGGAGGAATTTGAGTTACCATTTTTGGAGTAGTGAAATGCAATTAATTAAATTTTGTATAATAATAATAATATACGACAAGTACAACACATAACTACAAAACTAAACAATCACACCGCACTTAATCCGTGCGATTAGTTAACCAGGATAGATTTAAGTTCCAACAAGAAAAACTGATAATACTAATAATACTAGGCACAAAATTTGTAGGTATACATATAGATGCGCATTTGAATTTTCGAGTACATTGTACTAATATAGTGAATAAGTGAAATAGAACCAATTATTTATTTAGAAACTTACGTATAATAGAGAGCCTATGAAGCATTGTAGTAAAGTCGAAGGAAGTAGCGTGCTTTGAAAGTTATTTAAAAAACAGATATATAACGAGCAAAATTGCAAATGAGTATAGTGATAAGATAAAACACTCTTAGAAAATGGAGTCCCACAAGGCAGTAAATTAGGTTCACTATTATTTATAATTTTTCGTAAATAAGATATTTCAAATAATAAACCCCAATATATATACGCAGACGAAGCAATATTATTCGCATGGTGTTATAGACAATAGGCTAAAATATGACGAACACATAAATTACATATACGGTCAAATTAAAAGACAAATTGAATGTTTTACATATGTATTATCCACATATTGTAGACATCAAAACTATTAGTATTGTTTATAAATTGTTAACAGAATCACTTAAAAATGTTAGATAATTTACAATGCAGGATATTAAAATTAATCAACAGAAAATCTAATGGAATCAACAAACAAGAATTGATTAAGAATTTTGATACGCTAACAGCAATCGGGCTGTATAAATATTATCATATTATTAAAAATATAACAACTCATGGTCATGCAACACGAAGAAGGAAATATAAAGTTCCTCGTTATTACAATAATTATGGAAGAAGAACCTTGAAGTGTCTAATCCCTCCACTGTTTAATGACATTGATGAAAACATAAAAAATAAAAAAAAGTGACGTTCGACAATTATATGTATGTATACCGGAAAAAATCAAATTCCAAAATTCCAAATTATTAGTATAATATATCTATTATGCAACAAAAAAATGAACAACAAATTAATACGTAGAGTACACAATAATACAAACAAAATGAAAGAGAATTTCTATAGTTTTGACAAAAAGTTTTGGCTAAAGTAGTAGGCCTTGAATAACAAAACATAAAATTAATTAAATTAATAGATATGTCTAAAAATTGTAATGCAATCGAAGGCATAAACAAATTAATTAACACTAATATAACTGAAAATTTCGACTCGTGTGGAAAGAAATATATCAATATTTGGACAAACTATATCAAATAATTTACATGCGTACACAATAGTATATAAATAGATATAAAACATTTCTGCGATGCGTAGTTTTATAAAATGTATCGCTGAGACGAATATTATATAGAGAAATATGGGAATTGATAGCTGACAGCAAATGAGGTGCATACAATTTGTTGTGTATAATATTATACAGAATGGTAAGACTGCCTGCCTCCGTCCTGCTTACGAGGGAGCTAAAATTGTATTTAAATAGAAAGAGGTCGTAGTTGTAACCGCCAACGGGATAAACTCGTTCCTTTTTAAAATACAACAATTTCAAAAATCGTCTTTGGGTAGCTGCCATTATCTTAATCTACACTTAGTTATGAGAAAATCAAACCACAGAACAGAGCAGTATTCCAGTGCTTTAAGCGTATCCAACTCGGTAACAGACCTTGAATGAACACTTAAATTTTTGACAGGCCAATGAGACTGTGAGTTGGTTTATCATGCTAGGGAGAAGAATTGTTTAGTATAGTATGCTACGAGCTCCTTGGATGCATTGTTTTCCTTCACTTTCTTCCTTGTTAAAATTTTTAGGGGTTGATTTCTCCAAGTATAATATGTTGTGGCTATTCTTGTTTAGCATTTCGCATGCTGTTTTATAATTGCTTTACTAGTACCACAGAGTATTTAAATCTGCGATATTACGAATAGATATATAATCCTAGTACAATTTATAATCCAGATTTCAATTTTTGCTACTCGCTAATCCCCCGCATAGAAAACTATAACGTATAAGGCTATTAGTTGCACTTACCTGGTAGAGCACAAACCATCGTAACTGCCATTTGCTGCTGTCAGCAGAACGTTTATGCAAATATCCCGATTGCGAATTGTCATTTTGAGCGCGTTCTGATAACATAATAAGCTGATTTTCGTTAAGTCGAATTGTCCGTTGCATTGTAGGACTTCAGTGTGCTCTGCTAATTTGGTACCTAGAATTTTGAGAAACTCCATGAAATTTCGACGCGCAAATTCAACACACGTTGCAAGTGCATGCAACAGATAATGCGAGAAACGTGTGAAATGTGAACCACGGCAGTTTCACAGTGTTGTTTTGTGACAGTTCACTTTCTGATCGATTGTTTTTCCGTGTAAGTGTAACTCATCAAAAGGTTATTCGATTTACTGTTTGATCTAATTAATCTACATGGATGAGCTATGGCATGGAGATGTTAGTCTACAACTTTATCAATTATTGAGCGCTTGATTTATATAATAAATTATTATGTCATAAATTGCGTACGGATCTTATGGAATGGCAAAGGTCGGCTGCAAATTATTTATTAGCACTCGGCTGCCAATTACCGAACATTTCAATTTGCAAATGGCGCAAAAATGAATCTAGGAATTAGCGGTTACAAACACTTTACATTGTTCCGTCTTAAAAACGAGATTTAATTAGAACATGGCGTATGGTTTTTAGAATTATTTTAACAGACTTCATTTAATTAGAAGCAAGAGGTTTCTTTTGATTTTAAAGACAAATATAGAATTACGTTTAAAGGTTAAAGGTTGATTGCTTGTCACAGTCTACAGGTTATTTTCATGATCTAATTACAATAAAGAGTTGACTTAGGGCTACAGCTTCTTAAATTACCTACGCAAGTTAACCCATTCAGATTGAATATCGAGTCAAGTTAGAACTCCGTATACCCGTAATGCTTATTTTTACTTCTGAAAAAGGCAATATGTATACAATATACAAAAATAATATGTAGAAAGCCGCTCTACAGCTGGATAATGAGCGCGTTCGTGGAAAATGTATGAACAAGAGAGAGAAGTAGTAAGTCAGACACAGAGGGTGACGTGATGAGTGACAGGTGAACTTTCTGCAAAGCAGCATCGGGACTAGAAGCGAAAGGTTAGGCCTTCGACGTGCATATGTCTGGTGACCAATTTTTATCCAATCTGCTCAACAGATCCTACAAACTGTTTAGATTGGTGGAGGTTTGAGAGTACGGGTGAATGTCATGTATATTTATAATCTTTTATTGAAAGCCTACTCATTTATGAAGTGCTGACAATTTAAAGTGTGGGGTAGTTTCCTTTCTCCTTCTAGATCGCTAAGGGATGCCGTTTATTGATATGAAGGGGGAAGGAAACCCCACCGCTTAGTTCTAGAAAGTAGACTGTGCCACAGTTTCAATAAATGACTAGGCTACATTTATAAGGTTTATATAGTCCAGTCAACCTGTGTTTTTAGTGGGAAAAAAAATAGTATAAAGCTAATTTTTTCTCCATCGACTACTAACATTTAGACAAGTGTTTAACCAAAAGTCCCCGCCCCTACCCCTTTGCTTCCCCCCCCCCCCCTGTGCCACCCTAAACATGAAAAGTGTAGGGGTTTCGTAAATCGCGTCTCTCTCTCGATTACTAAACAACATATCGGATTGCAATGTATTTTATTCTCTTTGCTATAACATTGTCTACAAATAAGTTTCAGTTGCCTTTCGTCGTAACTTTTACCGTTTGTTTGTAATTCGTATGAAAAAGTAAAAAGTGGTATATTTTTCGGCACGTAATTTTACTTTTTGTCGCAGAAATTTTCACGCCGACATTTTATCAAAAAATGTTCCCTACAAAAGTTGTAGCTCCCATTATTACCATTAAAATGATATGAAATAGTACTTACTTTGTTGAAGAGCCTGCGAGATTCATCCGGTGTAATGCAGAATGCGTACCCAGTCGTGGCGGGTTCCGTCGAGGTGGGCCGGGCGTTGCAATGCTAATATTGTTGTATAGTGAGTGTTTTTTTAACTTTAAGATACACTATTGCATTTTCTCTAAACTAAACCCAACGAATCTCAGTGAAACCTAAATTCTACCCTTTTTAAATTTGTGTCAAATATTAATTAAGTCCTTGTATAGGTACAGCTAAAAAACGTATTTTAAATAGATTTCTATTATCCAAAATCGTCGAAAGGCAACTGAAACTTATTTGTAGACAATGTCATAGCAAAGAGAATAAAATACATTGCAATCCGATATGTTGTTTAGTAATCGAGAGAGAGACGCGATTTACGAAACCCCTACACTTTTCATGTTTAGGGTGGCACAGAGGGGGAAGCAAGGGGGGTAGGGGCGGGGACTTTTGGCTAAACACTTGTCTAAATAGTAGTAGTCGATGGAGAAAAAATTAGCTTTATACTATTTTTTTCCTTCAAGTGGTGTTTTACGACACAGGTTGACTGGACTATATAAGGTTATTTCAGTTTCATGTTATTACTCAAGTAAATGTGTACAACGTCCTATGTAAATAAATCAACGCCAACACCCAACCTACAACCAACAGCCTACAATAACCTACTTTTTAAAGTTTATTAAATTACAGCTTCCATTGTATGATTTTACATCATGATAACGTACCGTAAGATCATCTTCGTTGTGGGTAAAACAGATGCTTATCAGTTATCACATATTAATCTACGAGTACATACTTGATTCGTGTCAAGATTGCTAATAGATACGGAAAATCAGCACGGATATTTCTGGATTTACAGTTTCAACTAGAAGTAACATGTTACATATGAATAAGGGATTTTTCCCCTTTCCACAATAAAAAAAAACTGGCAGAACCGTCCATAGCTGTAGTAATCAGAAAAATTTGGCTCGTTTGCTATGAAACCTATTATGTTGTGGTATCCATCTAATATCTAAGATAAGTCCAGTGAGAAATCATAATAAAAATATAAATTCAAAGGGATCTGTCATCGAATTGAATTCCTTTCGTTCCTAACTTTGAATTAGAGTGAGATGAATTATTATTTATTAATACTACTTAACTGTACGCACACGATACGATTGAAAGTCAAAACAAAGAACATTTTTATTGTTAAGGGCAACATTTTGGAGAGTTTATTCCAACTTGTAGGTATACAAATTGACCGATCGGAGAATGAGAAAAATGTTATTTTTCTCAAGTAACGCGATTCGAAGTAAACAAAATTGCCAAGAAGAAAATCTTACAGCAAGTGCAGTAATTGCGCCTGCTTTTGTATCACCTTCTATACTTATTACTGCCGATCAATCATTTCGACAATGTAGATGTTCCTCTGATCAAAATCGTACGCTAGTCACCAATACAATGTACACCACCTAAGCAGTTTTGAGTGAACCGATCTAGTAGTTCAAGTTTTTGCAGACTTGATGTCACTATCATGATTCGTTAACAGCTACCTGTTAGTTAAAAAGTTTACTATGATAATGCTTAAAACGTTACATCTTCGAAAATTTAACGCAAGTTAAAGTTAACAGTTACAAGTGAATTGTCCAAATTTTACATCTAGGTTGGTTGGGAATAAGTAAAAAAGGCAAAAACAAATGGGTAATTGAATGTTTTTGATAATGTAGAACGTAAAAGTAGAATAAAGAATCAAACACATTATTTTGCTCAAAAATACGTAATACTTAAGTTGCCACTCATATATTATCACTGAACGTACAAGCGTCATGTGGCACGTAATTCAAACAATAAAATATCAATATAGTAACAAATAACCAATGTAACGGACTAAATAAACGGAAGTTCAAATTAACGAAGGTTAACAGAAGCGTTAACATTTTTATAAGTTAACTTAAAAGATAATCCACTACGCAAATCAGTAACTTCGTTAATTAACGATTAACGGATTAATGAGTTAATGCCCATCTATGAAATTCTGTGAGCAATTCAGACGGAAATCTTTGTGCGCTATTTGAATTGTCGTGGAAACTGACGTCACAATAAAAGTACATGTATATTGCATAGTCATGACAAGACTCAAATTATGTTAGTATTAAACACCGATTTTGGCCAATAGCCGAAAAATATGTTCTAGCCACCAGTATATTGCCAGTGTTCGAAAAACCGGTAACCCACAATTCGTCTTGGATTTTTTGTATTGCTAGAATGGGTACTGGCATTTGTCATATTGCCAAAACACCTCGAGCACACAAAAAATCTACCGAATAACCGATTTTTTTGTGTTTTGAAAGAGGTGGACTTGCCTCCAGAAATGTCGTACCTAGGTGGTGTGCTCGCAGTAGTAAAGAATCTGGACTTAGTTAAGCTTAGCTAATAAATTCAAGTCAGTTATTACCGTAATTTTTATACCATTAAAAACGATTGTTATTTTTACATTTGAATGTCATACGTAAAAACTTAAACTATTTTTTCATACTAGGTATGTTGCCTGTTGAACGTGGCAATAATTACCAGCACGCCTTGTGGGATTGTAAAGGATTCAGAACGCGTTCTGGGCTACCATTAAACAGCTGGAAACCGACATTTCGGATTCGGACAGTGACAATATGCTGGTGGCCAGAACACGTTTTGTCCATATGTTTGAGCATTGGCCGAAATCGGTGTTTAATCGTAACATGTCCATTGAACCCATTGTATTAGACAAAGTTCAAATAGAAGATAGCTATAAGCTGAAATTATAAATGAAGTTTGGCTCAATTACATTTTCTCTTTCCTTAAAAATCCAGCTCCGGAAAGGCATTCCGCATTACTTTTATACAGACGATATAAATGAAGGAGCTTCTATGCGAGAAAAGATACCTAGTTTGCGAATTGGTTACAAGTGGCACTGCTAAATTACTTATTTTGTTTTAAAATAGTAACCCACTCCAGTTCAGAGTTCTTAAAAACAAACTCGGAGGAACATTTCGCCAGAAAGTTTACCATTGTTGAGAGTTAGGTATGGTATATTGATCCAATAGAGATGTCAAAGCTTATGCATTTTATGCAAAGTGGTAGAAATAGGAGTTGAGATCAAAGGTTTTTATAAATTACCCATTCTATTTAAACCTTTTCCACTTACATCCATATGTATTTAAAGCATATAAAATAACTACATAATAGAAACTAGTAAAAGTTCCTACTCAAAGTTTAAAAAAATGTGCTTACAGTAACAGAGCAAACCTCTGATTTTGTCGTATTAATCTTAAA